GTCGTGCTGACGACAATCCTGGCCTCACTCTGCCGGTCGTACTCGAGGACGTGTTCCAGCGGATGGGTGTTTTTCACTTCTTGCCGGACAAGAACCTCGATGACGTTGAGGAAAATCTCGTAAGGAACGCGGACCGAATCGTTCAGGTCCGGAAGCTTTGACAGAGACATGATCGTGGCTTCCCGCTTGCGTTGTTTCGATGGTAGAGTTCAATCTCTCAACTGTATTCTTCTGGATTCGGTGAAGCAAAGACCAAAAGCCCTTGATGTCGATGTGGCGACGGCTGTCGTGCCTTTTCGACAGCTTGAAGTTGGGAGATGAGGGTGACGCGTTTGCCTTCCAGAGAAGGAAACAAATGGAGAAACGAGAAAAATATTTGAACTCGATGATGTGAAAGGGAGAGAGGTAACCTTCCCGTTATCAAGGAAACTGGATGGAAGAAGGAGAAGTCGGCCCCTCCGTGAAAGGCTGAAGCGCAAGGCTACGAAGGGGAGTCTCAACTGATGCACCAGCTTGCCGGGGCCCGGGGGACGGAGAACTTAGCAACAGAATGATGGGGTGCCATATGTTCAGCTATTGGCAGTTTTGAGATCACAAGCTCCAGCCGGGCGATGTATGGTTGTTGTGACTTTGGATAACAAAACCATCTTTGTGGCCTGTCATTGGATTTCCCGGCAATCCATTCATCTCCAGATAAAGTCTAGACATCGTGCAGTATGGCAGCCTTCAAGAATGGGACATGCTTTTGTAAGGACATGGAGTTGTAAATCTAAATCGGTGTAAGAATATAACTATAGTAGCCTACAATTGAGAATGAGTGCACGTCTATCAACTTTATCAAGTGTGCTACAGGTATCGTATCTTCAATTTCGTTCCCTGTTGGATTACGGGGATCTTTGAAAACTTCGTTTTTCTAAACATTTTCAGCGTCAAGTTAATACTTACTCTAATGACACTGCTATTCATCACAATTTTGATGGGCTGGGCCCTGGTCTGTGGAAACCTACACTCCATCCTGTCTTTATGGACAAGTCGTGCTTGATGTAACTATCTGGTACCTCATACATATATGCCGTCGTCATAACTTGTTGATCACGCCTTAGCGGCGCGTAATTCGATTATTTAGCTTACATTGGTCCAGCTGCTTTTTCAATTTTATCTGATATGGCCGGGCGACATCCTCAACCTGCCCTGAATCGGATGCTCCTGCTCGACTCATGAGCTCCAACAGCCTCTTGGGGTCATGAGCGAAAGCGATCCCGTCAAGAACACTCGGGTCAGCCCCCTTGTCAAGAAGCCACTCCACGTAGTCCCAGTCCCGCGTGGCACAAGCCAAAGTCAGAGCAGTCTGCTCCCCTCTTTCTCCTGCCCACTTCACGTCATCGACACCTACATCATCGAAGCTCAACATGTGCTCAGCCATCTCACGACGCATGGAGAATGGGCTCACCCATCGTTCAGCATCCTCACTATTTTGGCCGACTGCTGACAATACTACCATGTCTCGCACGATGCGCAACAAGGGCATGAGTTCGGAGACCTTGAGGGCAGGATCGCTGTACGTTCTGAGTAGCTCGAAGAACCGCGGATTCCAGGTCTCAATCGCAAGACCAAATGTCCATATCCCATGCCGATGAAACGGCACCTCAACTGGAAACCACACATCTGGTTCTTGTTCTCTAAGTGTCGGAATATGATACCACCCTGGCCCAATATTCGGATCAGCGCCGCAAGAGAGGAGAAATTTGGCCAGAGGTTTATTGCGGACGCACAACGGATCTTGAAGCGCCCACTTTGGGTAGTTCCCCTCTCTGGGTTCCCAAGCTTGATTCGGGTGCCACCCTGCGTCCATGAACGTTCGCAGCAGAGGAACCAAGGTATCGTCATCGTCTGGAAAGGTCTCGAAAAGGGAAGCGCCAACAGCGGTTCCTCGTGTTTTTGATGCGGCTTCCGTGCCTTCGAAAACATATCCGTGGAGAGCCGTGTCATTTGCAAGCAAGAACTTGGCGACAGCAGGCTGGTTCCCGAAGGATGCTTGTTGGAGACCAAATTGGCGAACAGCGTGGCTGGGAGACATGCCTTGCAGGAAGACTTCAACCACTTTCAGGTGGCCCATTCGACAAGCAATGTAAAACCCGAGCTCCATGGGGTCGTCAGGGTTTAGTGTCTCGACATCAATAGCATAATCGGGCCGTGGAAGGCGAGGCGGCAGCGGTGTTAAGTCCGCAAACAGAGCTTCGAATTCTTGGATTTCGTCTATTAGCTGAGGGGCATCGGAAATCGGGCGCTGCTTCGATAGACGTTCCTCATTGATGCGTTTGACGTATGCAATATGCCATCTCAGCCGCGCCCGGCGTTGGGAGTTACCTGGCGCTGTAGTGTGTCCCATGTTAGACAACGGCGAATTACGAGTACAGCCGTTTTTCTTATCCAGAATGGCTAGTTTTCAAAGCTTTTAACATGAAGCCAGGCCAGGATACAACCGCGCGGCCGTGTTCAAGATAAGTTTCTGGCTTGCATTGGAGAATATTGGGGTTTCTTTGACCCGTGTTCCAGTCCAGTTCAGTCATTGTTAGAGGCAACACGGAAACGGAACGCGGTCGAAGAGTAAGAGGGTCAATCAAGGCTTGGAAGTAACTAGGGGGCAGAGGCATACACTCCAATGTTCCCTTGCCAAGTTCTTTTCAACGCTGACACCGACTTCTTTGTCCTCTCGAGGTTTTCCCCGAGTACTTCCTGCCTCCCTGATGTAAGGTACCTTCATATTTCATTCACTCGGTCCCACTTGGGCTATCCAGGTGAGTTCTGTATCCAGTCTTTTTCCGGGAACAACTGCAGCGGCATGAGTTCATCCCTTCAAAGTACAAATGGTTGCTCGAGGACCTCGCGTCAATGAACCGCTTCCTTCAGTAAGTCGACCCACCCCCTTTTAGCCACCCCCCCCATTTGGCCACCCCAACAAAACATAGCATTAAAACATCGCTACTAACTATACTTAATTAATTAACTACCTTTTATTACTATAATAATATAATTATTATTCTCCCTAAGTAATTCGACCCCTATAAATTAACTAAGATTAACAAAATAGTCGCTAAAATCCTCTTAAGCTTTTTATATATTCTAAATATTAATAAACTTAATATTTAGGTTTATTAATATACTCTTTTTCCTAGACCTTAATTAGTTAACTTTAGTTTTAAAATTTAAATTTAGTACTAAAATATAACTAAGTAATAGGCTACTTATTAAATACTTTTTTATTTTTAAATAATAAGTATTAAGTATTATAGTTTAGATTAAGCTTTATAAATAACTTTAATTAATTATAAAACTCGCTAGCTTTTTTAAGAGTTAACTAATTAATAATAAATATTATTAATACCTAGTTAACTACTTTTTAATATTATTAATTACTTACTTAATATTTATAATTTTTTTAGTTAGTATAATTAGTATTAATAGGACTATAGGATTAGTAAGTAGTTTAGTTATATTAAGAAGATATAATCTAATTACTTTTACTTATTTTATATATTTAATAATATTAAATTACTTAAATAAGCCCTTAAGTAATAACTTAAAAATACTACTTTTAATAATAATAGAATTATTTATTATATCCTCCTTATTAAGCTTTTTTATATTTAGATTTAATAAGTTTAAAAATAGTTATATTTAATAACTAGAAAATATAAGAAGTATATAGAGGTAAGAATAATAAATAAATATTATTTTTATAATACTCTATATAAATTTAATTATTATATAACTCTTATATCTATTTAAAATTAATAATCGAGGCTTATTAAATAGGTTAAGCCCTAAGGGGGTCTTAGTCTATAATAAAAATACTATTTTTAATTATTTAAGGGTAGTATTATTAATAATCTAACTATTTTTATTATTATAAACTCTTAATTAATATATAAGTTAAATTTAAATAAAAACTACTACTATTATACTAACTTTCCTTTATATATAACTAGTAATTTAATAACTTAATTATTAATAAAAATATACTTAATTATAAATACCTAAATACGTAAACTAAGCTCTTTTTTATATTATTATAATCTTAGCTATACCTAAAACTAGGTTATTAAACCCCTTACCTTTTAAAATACTTATTTTATTTATATTATATTTATTAGCCTATTTAATACTACTAATCTTTAATATATTAAATAATCTAAACTACGATTTAATTATATTAATAATAGCTATTTAGATATTACGAATTAATAATACGACTTTTTAGACTTTAATTAATAAGTTTTTTAAAAAAGCGTTTATCTATTTTTAAAAGATTTATATCCTTTAAAATCTTAAAACTTACTTAGTAAATTTTCTAACTTATTTATAAATTAATATAATACTTAAATTATATTAAATATAAACTTATTAAACTAGCTAGTTTTCTTATTATAAGAGAAACTTCTAAAAGTTTATAAATATTATTACCCTTATTTAATAACCTCTTTTATAATTATAAAGTATTAATTTTAAAACTCTGAACTTAATTAAGGCCCTATTAACTAAAAGACCGTTTTTAATAACTATAAGAGCTTAATTAATTTTATTTTTAGTATATATAACTATAATATATCGATAAATAAGTATATAAAAAAGAATTATATTCGGACGATTTTTATAATTATTGTGGTGGTTTATAAATTAAGGGTAGGGTTTTAATGCGGTGGCTAGGATAGAGAAATGGGGTGGCCAAAAGGGGGTGGGTCGACTTAAGAAAAAGTACAATGTTGGCAAGTCCACGACAGAGTTGTTTGTCCCAGATTCAGAAGGGATGAGATGGTGTCACATGGACCAAAGTCGCAAAAAATGGGTGTCACACTTTCGACCGGGCAATCGTCTCTCCTTTGAAGTGCGATAAGTCCACCGGTGACTTAAGTGCACTTCCTCCCTCATTTTCACCAGATTACGTCGCCGAGTTGTCTGTCGGATCTCTCCCTTCATCAATCCATTCTGGAATGCACATCATGCTGTCAAAGTCTAGGTTCGCTCTTTTTCTAGGCTTGTTGCTGTTGGCCGGCTTTCAACTAGGAGTCCTCGCTGAGCCATCGCCGGGCATCCAAAAATGGGCAGCATGGACAACCAGCTACAACAACAAACACGTTGTTCTAGCAGAATCACCGCCTCCTCCTGGCCCGCCCGGCCCGTCTATCATTCCAATTCTGACGCCATCTCCATCAGTCCCTCAGATATCCCCTCCGCCGCAGACAACCAAGAGCGAAAAGTCATTCAACCCATCAGACGTGCCCACAGTATGGCCCTCCTCAACAGCCGCGGCACGGAAACCAGGAACAGCTTGCACCGAAGACAGCCAATGTAACCTCCCAAACCAGTGCGCTCGCGACCAGACCCCGGCTTGTGATAAAGTGGCCCAGGTCTGCAAGTGTCTAGTCGTGCCTACGCTTGCGACTTCCACCTCAACGACGCCGACCAAGAGCACCAGCAAAGCGCCGTACCCTGTCGTCACGCAATGGATCAAGGATATGGAGACCAAGGTCGGCGAGCAGAAATGCAACGACAAGGTTTCATTCGGCCAGGAGGTCATTAGCGGGACGGATATCCTGATGGATATCAAGAAGATTTGCAAGGCGTTAGATGAGAAGAAGCTGCGAATCTCGCCAGATAGCGGGGAATATAAATCCAACGGACTCGGCACGAACGGTTCGAAACATCATTTTACAATTTCTTGGGTAGAGGGCTGCACGTTCCCGAGCAAGGAGAGGACAAAGCATGGCATGAGGGCCTTTGATCCAAGGGAGACGGGGGAGGAGATTGATGGGATGAATCGGTGCGAGTACATGCTATATTGGAACTGGAAGGAATGTGAGTACAGCTCGTCTACCAGCTGCTTCATTGACAGATTTGTTGACCAAGATTCGTATTGTATGCTGACTTTCAGGATACAGGCGATAAAACCAATAGCGGCAAAGGAGGGTATCGAGATATAGGATGCCTGCGATACGCCACGGGCCCGGGAGAAGAGGGCACCAAGGGGACCGGCGACGGCATCAAGGAGAGGCTGAAAGAACTGGCTAGAGACCTAGGACCGTGGGAAACAATTTTCTGAAAACTCAAGTATTACTTTTATGAGGCGATCCTATGGATGTAGCTATAATCATCTTTACTTCCCTGCAACTTCTATAGGGAAAGGCTCAATGGCTCATGTGTCTCCTCATGCGACATTCCAAACGCCGTATATGCTACATTAGATCTTTTCGGAGGGCTAAGGGGGTATACAGTCCTCTTCTAATTCGTGTCGCGACGGACACACCATATATCAAACACATCCTCCTTCTTCTTAATGGATTTGCAAGACAGTAAAGAACTCTCTCAAGCACTCTTCTCGATGTCTCGAGGTACAGTCTGCTCCTCGCTCGCCAACACGCCCGTCGACTTCTCGCTGTTACCACCCGCGGCCGCAGCAGCAGCAGCAGCCTCCCTCTCCCTCTTCCTCTCCAGCCGCGCGAGCTGCTTGGCCCGCTTACTCTCATTCTTCTCCTGATCCTCCCTCATCTGCCGAATAATCGGGCTCTTTGCGCGAATCTTCTCGCCGTACCGCCAAAAGATGATGGGGATCGGAATGAGCGCGAGCTCGAGCAGACCGCAGAGCGTTCCCGCCCACTGCGGCGACATGGCCTTATACATGGACGTGCCCGCGAGCGGCAGCGTGCCGCCAAACATGCTCCGCATGACGGCGTTGCCGGCCAGCGCGGAGGCGGCGTAGATGCCGTACGCGCCGGCGAGGTAGTTGGACCCGTAGATGAAGGAGATTGTGTTGCCCGCGCCAAAGGGGATGCCGAAGGCGATGGGGATGGCCCAGTGGATCGTGGCGGGGAGGCAGGTCCAGGAGAAGACGAGCTGGCCTATGGGGGTGAGGATGGCGCCGATGGTCATTACGCGGGCGGTGGCTTCGGGCGGGACGCGGCCGGTGATGGGGTCTTTTGGGTGGGCGTTGATGATGCGGCGGAATATGGGCTCGCTGATGATGGCGAGGATGGTGCCGATGCCGATGCCGACGAAGGCGAGGCCTGAGACGCCTGGGCCCCAGCCGCGGTATTGGGAGAAGACGATGGGGTAGGCGACGAAGCAGAGGTAGAGAATGCCGTAGATGAGCGATATCCTGGGCATGTTGTTAGTATTCTGAGGCCAGGAGGTGGATGGCGCCGCGTAAGAGTCTTACCAGAGGTTGAAGAACCACAGAATGGGCTCTGTGAAACTGAGGACGAAGGGGCGGCTGAGATTCAGCTTGATGAGGTGGACCTTGGAAACCTTCTCGTCGTAGCGGCACCACCAGCGCGGGTCATCCGTCTCTTTGCGAATGCGAGCCGCCTTGCGCTGAAGAATGGTGGGCGCGTAGGTCTCACGAAGGGTGAACATGAGCGCGATGCCAACACCGGCGATGATGAGGACGATCCAGTTGGTCCATCGCCAACCTAGATACTGGTACACGAAGCCACCGATGATCGGGCCGGTGACTGGGCCGTTCAAGGGGGCGATGGAGTAGAAGGACATGGCGAGGGCACGATACTCCTCATCTGAGATGTCTACCACGGTCCCTGGGCTGTTGGCGATCAAAGCAGCTCCGAACAATGCTCTGGGTTACAGTGTCAGATGAACCCGATTACTTGAGAGAGTTGAAGGCTTACCCGAAGAAGCGAACGACGATCAGTGTTGTCAGGGACTTTGCAAGAGCGCAGGGAATGATCAGCAGAGATGAGACGGTGAAGCATCCGAGATAGACATATTGCCGGCCATACAACTCGCTCATCGGGGCCACGATCAAACTGCCGGCAGCCAAGCCAAGAAGGTAAGTAGTAACACCAAGCGTCGCAACAACCCTGGTCGAGTGATACTCCTCAACGAGGCCGGGAATAGACGCCGTGTAACTCGTGCTGTACAGCACGACAATCCAGGTAGAGAGTGAGACGACGAAGATGGTCCAGCCGCGGTACCAGAGAGGCCAGTTCTTTGGGTTCTCGGGGTCGTCGGGCTCAAAGACGACCTCGTAGTCCGGAGGCCGTGACGCGGTGCTGCCGATACTCGTGCCGGTGCGCGTGTACGTGATGGGCTCCCGGGCGACGTGTTCCGCCTCGGTCTCGAGGTCGGGCGTCAGGGCGTGCTCGAGTGGCTCAAGAGGGTCGGTGTCGGTGGACGAGTGGGACGAGGCCCGGCTCCGGCTGTGGTGGCTGTGCCGGGACTCAATGTCCTTGAGCGGGCGGAGTGGCGGCGAGTCTTGGCCGGAGCTGGTTGAGGTCGCCGTCGCCGTGTCGGTGGCGGCCGCGTGAGACCCGGTCCCGAAGTCGTGTATTGCAGACATTATTCGATTTGCTAACGACGTCTTCTTTGGTTTGAAGGCCTGTGTGGATAGGCGCCTGGCGCGATGTTTGATCTCCCTCCGCGCAAAGAATGGCCGAATGTCCTGGGAATTGCGGCTCTTGGGGAAATCGGGACAGGGAAAGTAGATCAAGAAACGGCGCGCCGAGCCTCGGGACAAGAGATTTTTAACCGTACTAGTAGTATCTCTGACCCAAGGTGCAACAAACTCCCTTCACAGCTAGACGCAGTCGACAAAGCGGGTATACTATGTAAATGAGTCAACGGGAGATTTGCAAGAGGGGCGGCCCCGAAGAAATCTTTCAAGAGACACGGATAGTAGATAGGACCTACAAGAGCGAGGGAGAGACAGAAGAGTTTTACAAACCAACAATTTCTCAAACGTCCCACGCCCAAGCCCACGCCCCCCAGCAGCGCAACGCCGCCGTCAAAGGGGCGAGGGGACCTGGTGCTAGATCCATGAAATGGGTGGTGGGCGGCAACCCGCATCCGATCCACCGCCGCGAAAAGGGTGCTGGTGGGGTGCGCGGTGTGGGTATCCTCAAGGCACGCAATCGGAGCAGGATTGGGAAAGGAAAGGGACAACCTGACGAGGAGAGGACTAGAATTGGCCCATTGGGTGGGTGATCGACCTTCAGAGCCCGACGGGGATAACGGCGGAGCTAGGGTCGCATCGCCTCGGGCTAGAGTGGCCGCCGTCTTGGAGCGAGGTGACGAAAGAAGCCGACATTTGGATGTGTGTGTTGCTTCATCTCGAGACTTTGAGGTATCGTGGTATCGAGACTGAGACACGCTGCATCTCTAGAATTAGACTCTGGAACTGCTTCTGCCCCCGCTTCATGAGAATCCCCAGCTTCTCCTCCGCATTGGAGCCTTGCAGTCGTGGTGCTGTGGAAGCGGAAAACAGTGCCAAATCCCGCGTTTCCTCTTATCAATGGAGCCCATCGTTTTCCGGTGTGAGATGAGTCGATGATTGGGGAGGTGTGGAGTTCAGCCGAGGTCCGCTTCGGTTTGCCCCACTCCCATTGTCCCATGAGAATAAGCACTGCTGAGGCGGGTGAGAACATAAGTCATGTCTCTTTCGCCATTTGCGTGCAGGACAATGCCGCTCACGTCTCCGATAGGGTACACTTTTTACAGTGTGGTTGATGGATGAAGTCATATCTCGCCTTGGCAGCTCCGACAATGATCTTCGCGGCTTCGCCCATGACCTTGTCGAGAGTTTTCCAGAACGTCTGGCGGAATCGAGAATACCACCACGAAGGTTCGCGGATTGGCCAGTTCCGCGTGGCTTCCCAGGACGGTGGGACCTGTCAGGCAGTGTGTCGCAAAAGTTATTCCCGGCGGAAATCCCTGGACGCTAGATACCGTCCGAGGCTTCGGCGGGGCGCTGACCGCAGAAGCAGCAAAAACAATCATCCCTTGTTTTGACTTTTGACGATTCATACGGATGAATGTACGGGGTAGGAATTTCTCCTTCGTACGACGAAAGAATTTCCCCTCAGAATGCCATTGGTTGACGGGTGTATGCTGTGCGACCTGGGCTGAATGTCGGAGTGGCTGTCCTTCGTAGCGATGGTCCTGTTGCACGACATGCGTCTCAGGCAATGCAGCATTGTCACCGGACTAAGAACGTGAGGCATAGCAATGCTAGTCAGTATGCAATCTGAGGTGAGACGCAAAAGGATGAACCTGGAAGATGGAAAAAGTCTGAAAGATAAGCCAAAGTCGGTCGGTATCCGTACCCAGGGTCAGAGCTTTTGGTCAGGGTTCCCAATCCGGTTTTGGCGTGAGGTCGGCGGATCTCGGCGAAAGCGGGGCTTCGGGTGTCTGAGGTCCGCTTTCGGCTCCGATCTCCGGAGATGCAACGACATTCCCTCTTGCTCCTTCCGCTTTGAATTGAAGATATTTCCATACTTACATAGGCTGCAGATATCTCATCCGACTAAGATAGATGTACAGGATTGATGCTCTTTTCTGAATCAACACCTGCATCTCGATTGTTGTCTGGTATTACGGTCGGAAGGATAGATGCAGTGTTCATTATCATCAGTGGGCTGTATTAACTAAACAAAATGCTGAATCGAGATCCAAAGAAGCAGAGAATACAGTCGAATACTAACAGAATTTACCTGTAACTTTCTTCTCCAGCTACTAAACCAGTAGAAAATTAGACATGTCGTCGAAATATAGAGGGGCTCGAGTCAATCTGACTTCGCAGTTGCAGCTTGTCGAGAAACCGTTGTTCAGACGACAGCTACACGGACCAATCTGCAGCCGCCACTTAACAGTGCAAAACTATTCTGCTCTACCTATATAACGATTCTATTTGGGATGACTTACGTGATATTTCGTTCCGTTAAGATCTGCAAGTGCGAGGAGTAGGAAGATGACGTCACGTGATGAGTTGGGAGGTATTGGGTGATTAATAATGCTACGTTTCCAGAACAATCAGTCAATTAATCCAACATAGGTAATTAGTCCAAAGAATCTTTTGAGTCGCAGTCATCTGGGTCATGCCTTTCAGACAATTTTACTAAGGCGTCAAGTTCAGACTTGGGCAGGGGCTCGCAACTTGACCAAAGCCTAGAGATGCCACAGTATAAGATCGCCTAAAAACCAGAAAAGGAGCAAAAGTTGATACCAAAAGAGTTCTCCCCGGTGCTGAACTGGGGGCTACATCTCTTGGTGCTCATGCTGGGAATCGAACCTCAACCCTGGTGAGGACGAGTCTGCCGCCGAGAAGGCTCGCCCCTAACCATCCCGCCAAACGGGACTTTGACCTGACCTCACAAGCCTGTGAGGCGCCTGCCACCGTTGGTGACAGGAATAGAACTTAGGGGTCCTAAATGGCCTTCTCGCAGCAATGTCTGGCAGGTGCAGCCCTGGCAGTTGAGATCGATGCTTCCTTCCAATGTCGTGCTGGATGTTGAGTGGCCCCACATTGCCAAATTCCAGCCAATAGCCCGAGCTATCGGCGTCTACCTCAAGAAGAAGCAACTTCATCGACAATGACAGGGGTTCATGCAAGGTCTCAGCCGCCGTGGCTGTGCAGCGTAAGCAGGCAACGACATTCAGCGCGAAAACCACACAAAAGTGAGGCGTTCCCTTGATACGCGCCAAGCGTATTCTGATTCCTACCCTGCTTCAAAGTTGAGCGCGAAACCGTTGCATCTTTGATCTATGCGCGCTTCAGCAAGCATCGCGAGATCCTGAAAGGATGGAACCCGACTACACGGACCCAAGCCACGAGTGGTGGGCCCGGCCATCGGACGGCTGCTTGGTTCCACTCGTGCTTCAATGCGGCCAAGAGCCGGACGTTGTGCCCGAGACATCGAGATGGTCGCGCCTGGGGAAGTTACCTTCCCGAGTCTCGCCAGTTTTGCGCGTCTCTTACTGGGCCGGGTCATCTTTATTTGTTCCTTGCACAAGGAAGTATAATGTTAGCTTTTACACACTGGTGGTGACAGCGCTGAAACTCCTCGTGGCATGGCCGGTGCTTTGTATGCTGGTAAGAGACACATCCTTGCTCTGACAGGCTGACCAGAACCGAGCTGATCATGATTTAAAGGTCTGCTGGACTGGGAATCTTGGGACAACTGTACAACAGCTTGTCGATGCTCGCAACAAAAAGGACTCACGCTACGATAACGTATGCGTTCTCTCAAGGGAGGAAAGTACCCAGAAGAGACCGTTTCCAGGTCGACATCCGGTAGAGCAAGATGCCATCCTTCCTGGCCCCCTGCAAGAAGCAAGGCCTCCAGCATCAGAGCAACAATACACCGATAACATTAGGTTGAGCGGGTCTCTGCCGCCTTCGGGGTCACGTGTTGACAGCTCGCCAACTTCTCTTCGTCCACGATACCTATGCTTCGTCAGGGACTTTGAACAAGGCATATACGAGACAGTCAAGGTTTCCGACTACCTCGCGCAGCATGGAGACGACGTAGACCTTGAGTTTGTCTTCGTCTCATACACCAGGCTCCAATTCAGGGTAGCTACTGAGGAGGAACTCAACAAGCATGACTATCCAGACGAAGCTACCAGGAACGCTAACAAAGAAGTTGCACGACAGGATCGAGAGATCTTGGCCAAATGGGGCATGGATGCCGCAAAAAGGGTGGGCAAAAGGGCATTCTGGCTCGACTTCGAGTGTGTTAGGAACGACGACGGCATCGCACGATCGACGAGCAGCAGTCAGGACGTCTATCGAATTTGCGACATTGTTCGCGCGGCACATTCCATGATCATCGCCATCGGACCATCCGCCAACGACAAGGTCGCCTCAATCCTTGCTAGCACTGAGCCTCCTGAGTACAAGCGTGAGAACGTTACGCCGTGGCTACGGCAGTGGGGATCCCGCCTGTGGACGCTGCCGGAACTTCTACTTTGCCCAGCGGAATATCGCATACGACTCTATGTCCTCGGGGACCAAGCGGAACCCAAGGAATTGGCGAAACGCAACTTTGCTGAGCGGGCATGGGACGACGCGGAGGCTGTGAAGGAACTCGTGGACCACTTCGAAGGATCCGCGATCCTTACCGACCTTCGGCTCATCGAAGCTGCTCTCGCTTGTTTCTCGAGGCGTCAGACGGATCAATTCAACAAGGGAGACATCGCATACGCAACAATGGGTCTGTTCCCCAATCGCCATCGACCTCCAGTGAACAAAGAAGACTCCGGGTTCCAGGCCTTTGCCAAGCTCTCCATCGCCAATGACAGCGGAGCCTTTCTCAGCAGGTTGATATCCCTCTCCCAGCCAGACGGAGCCCCATGGCACCGGGTAGAAGATACCTGGGGTGCTAGGCTCAGCGAGATCTTTCCAAGCGTCAGTATAACCGGCGTGGTCGGCGCCGATACAGTCATGCTGGATAAGGTTCACGGTGCGACGATTCATTGGGACAACCTCGAACCAGAGCCTTATTTCGACAGGAGCTTCGGGATGCGTTATGTCGTTTTCGTCGGCTTCACATACTTTGCATGCTTCTCCGTCCCTATGGCATTCTCATTCTTCACTGGCATTGCTAGCATTGTGCTCTCGGACTTTATGCGATTGTCGATCTGGCAGGTCTACATTTGGCTTCTTCCTCTTGCCGTGGTCTTTGCTTTGTTATTCCCCATAGTCTTGATTTCAACGCGAGGCAGAGTCAAGCAGCCTGCCAAATCCCGACTCATTGGCATAGAGGGCATTGTCGACTCTGCGAGCATTGAGAAGCATTTATGGGGGTTCAATCATGGCAATCTCAGCACCACGAACCCGCAACATTACAGCGATGAAGATGATCGACGGGAACCTCCAATATCTCTGCAGCCCTCCGCGCCGCCTGCCGGGAGCGGCATCTTCGCTTTCACTCTGGTGGATACGTACTTGATGACGGTCACGCACTTCCACTGCCGTCTCCCCCCGGTCGCCATACTCGAATGTGGCTCTGAAGGTGGTCTGCAGCGAACTCTTCTGTGCTCTTACGACGCTCGGACGAACACGTTCCATAGGCAAGCTGTCTTGAGAGTCAATCGTCGAGGGGTCGAGCAGCTGCATCGTATCGATAGGATCCGGTTATCTTTGGCACCTCACCCCCAACCCAAGGAGCAGACACACAACGACATGCATGATGCATCGTCATCCTCTTCCTTCAATAACGATATTCTACCAGTTCAAGCGCAAAACGACATAGCCAAGACCTCGATTCCTATCACTACTTCTCACACATGGGGAGTAGAGTTTCTCTTCTTCGCACTATGTCTTGTAAGCCCATGATGCCTCAGATCAATCAGTAGATGAACAACCGCTTACTGATAGCAGGCCGGACTGAGCACTCTCGGTCCATCGAATTCCGCCAGGCCATCCGCAATCTTCATCTTTCATACTTGGTCCCTCGTGGGGCAACTGCCAGGCTTCATTTTGCTGCAGTATCTGCCGCTCAATCAAGTCGCCATCTGCACTTTCGCAGCGAACAGTACTCAGAAATCCCCATCGCCCTCCTCCTCAAGCCAGAGACTAATGATTGAACAGTTCTAGTCAGCGTCGTAAGAGGCGGTACATTATTCCACCAT